ACACGGGACAGCTATTTAGTGACAGACCCCACGCCTACCACGGACCCCAGCAAGAAGCACAAAGGGTAGGAACCCTTTCCTGGCACTAACACCCTCAGGAGAGGTGACCCAGGCAGCGCCCCAAGCCCCAGACACGGGGAGGCCAGGACCATTCCACGAGCTCCAAGCTTATTTTACTTCCCTGAAGGCTCGGAGGGAAACTGCTTCTAACACAGACACACGGGAGCAGGAACAGCACTGGTGACAGCGATGATCAGCACCCTTGCGCTCGAGAACGCTATCATAACTGGACTGCGACCGACACAGAACAAACGTGTCACCAAGGCAGGGGTCACATCATACAGAAACCGACGTGGCTGGGCCCGGCTTATACCTGGCTTGATGTAGATCTGAAAAATCTACTTTCCTCCTGTTTTACCTAGCAACTTCACTCCCTGCCTCTGGCTTCTTACACCCTATCCTGCAGCCACACTAAACCCCCACAACCATTTCCCACCCACACCCATGGCCAGGGGCCTAAACTCCTTCTCCCCTGAACAAACCGTCCTCTTCTCTGCTGTAAAAGCCCTACCCAACTAATTGCAATTTCCTCTACTCATTTCCAGCCCTACAATCCACTCCTGCTCCTCCGCTGGACTCCCCCAGGAACCCTGCTAATCACTGCTTATCCTTTACAGCACTCACCCATCTGACCAGCAGCGAGATCCACATCTACAAAGCCTCTCAACTACCCCGGGCACCTTCCAATTCTAGGTGCGGGGCCTTGTCTTATCCGGCTGTGAACACTGCCTCCCATCCCGAAAAGGCCCTTAACAGCCAGCAGAGCAATGACTACTCCATTTCCATCTCCATCCACTGCAGTCTCTGAGTTTAACGTGACCATAACTCATATTTGCAGTTAGTATCAGCTTAAGTAGATTCTATTTTTTAGAATTATTTATAGAAACTATGGTTGGGCAAAGTATGTTCAGTGACTCCTAATTCTCAGACACTGAGTCTTATTGCTAATTCCATCTCCAAACTAATCCCTCCTATTCCAAAGGAAACTAAGAATCTTCTTTCTCTATAGATTTGGCAACTGAGTTATAGGGTTTATATAAAGCATTCTGCAGTTTTAGAGTTTTAAGTCATAGAATCAATGAGATCATTTAGGGGCTGCTTATTAAATATCATTTGAGAGTTGCTGATATAGAACATGACATTTTTCCACAAAACAACCATAACCAAAAAGCCTATAAAATATAACTCAGTCAATAAATGGAAGTCAAGATTTTAATATTCTTATACATCATGGAGAATAAATACCAAAGGATATCATGATGTCTATCTGATCAGTTAATCTATCAATTAATCTATGTCTATCAGGCAAATTAATCAAATGTTTTCTTTCAGTAAGTCTGTAAAAGAAAACTCTTAGCCAGAATGAAAGATTATAGAATAGAAAGACAGTAGAAATTAATCAGCTGTCCACAAAAAATTGTTTAATGTTTTTTTAAATAAAGCACAAGGAATTCCAAAGGAACAAAACAGGCAACATGCTGGGCATGATGGTCACACCTGTACCCAGCACTTGGGAGGCTGAGGCAGGAGGATCCTGTGAGTTCAAGGTTAGCCTGTGCTACATAAAGAGACCCTGTCTCAAAAAAACAAGACAAATAGGCAACGCGTTAGTACCAGGCTGCGGGGCAGTGAGTCTTCCTAACCTCAGGCAGGAAACAAACTGCCTCCCCTACTCCCACACAAGCACAGCCTACAAGGAGAAACTGAGCCATACATAATGTGGCCAGGTCAACCAGATGACCCTTATCACAGGGCATGTCCTCTTCTCCCAGAGACTGTGTTAAAGTGCGAATTAGCAGAAAGTACATAAAGCTAAGACAAAAACTGGTCAAAGAAATGAAGCTTCAGAGCAGGGCAAAAATGATTTCGTGGCACTTGACCACTACTTACCCGGAAGAATGCAATGCCCCAGACAGACATCCTGCCCTTCCTGCCCTCCCCAGCGGGAAGGGAGCCCTGCCACCCACACTAGGACAGTGTCCTGTGGCCCCTTTTACCTGGGCCCAGCAGAACCTCTGGAATAATTTTCCACTTAGAGGAAGTCACAACCACGAGGAAAGGCAGTTGCGTGGTCCCTGGCACCTCCTCTCAGTGGAGAAATGTGTGACCCCTGACCTATCCCCTGTGGAGACCGCTCTTGAGCTTGCCTTGTGTTTCCTGACTCAGTTGCCCCATTAAACTAGGGTGCCCCGCACTGCTAATTCCACCCTGTCTCTCACAGGGACCCCCCCCCAACCCCCAGGCCATCACTGGTGCTGTGTAACACATGCACTTTTTTCTTTCTTGTTGTTGTACTTTGAGGGTTTTTTTAGGAGACAGGATCTGGCTACATAGTTCAAGGCAATCCTCCTGCCTCAGCCACATAATGGGATTACAGTCATGTACAACACCAAGCCCGGCTTGCAGGTGCAGTACTTTCTAAACTCCAAACTCAAGCCTGCCCTGGGGACCTGCTATTTTCCTCAGCTGGCATTTCACAAAATCTCACAGCCCACTGGTCACAGCCAGCTGCCCACCAGCATCAAAAGGGAATGTCAGACATCTCTGCCAGCCCTTCTAACAGCCACTTGCCCAAAGACTCGGCCCCTCCAGAGAAGACACTGGAAGGTCCTAAGGGCAGCAGGCACACGCTCGTCTCTTGGTAACCTGGGACTCCAGTCCCCAAGGCCACCGGAGGACTATGCCCAGGAGGCCCTGCTCCCCAAGCGGCAGAGTCAGGGGGCCTCTGGGGTCCTCGTGATGAGGTCACCATCCATCCAGGTCTGAAGCCCAGGCCCCAGGGCTGTGCCCCCACACCCTGGACCCAGGGGGAGTCAGTGGTCTTCGGGGAGAGGAGCAGCTCCACCCCTGCCCTCGCTGAAGGAATTTCTGCCCGCTTATCTCTGGAGGTGCCCTGACTGCGCCTGGCCGGGAGGGATGGAGCCGAAGCTCGGAGCAGCAGACCTTGAGCGCTCCCACCCCGCCTCACAGATCCTCCCAGCCCTGCCTGGCCTCTGGCCTGAGGGATCTCTCCCCTAAGAACACCCGGGCAACACCACCTCCCCATGCCAGGTCCAGGGAGCCGCTGCACCCAAGACCATCCCAGAACTCCCGGGCCCCCCCGGTAGCCAGACCAGGGGCTGCCGGGGACTCGCTGAGAGCCAATTTTGAGAAACAGTAACTCCATCCGCCAGGGCACCAGGTCCCCAAATCCATCCTGGACCAGTCTCTATTTCTCTGCCATTTATCATTCAAATGAGGCTCTGGCCACTCCCGACAGCGTCACCCACAACAGTTACCTGGAGCTGGCAGCAACCCCCTTCTTGGCTGGGCGACGTGACCAAAACCCGGCCGCTTGGAAACCAAAACAATGTTCTGCCTCATTTAGCTGCATAGCTGCTTCTGAAGACTTAGGCCAGGAGAACAAATAGGATTCGATAACGTGATCTTTTCATCTCCCCACTATTTATCACTTTATAGCCTTAAATATTCATCTAACGCTCCTGCTGCGGGGTGGGGGGGAATAAAGAAAAAGAAATACACCAGCATACACCTTTCTACAGATCAGAGAGCTTCTTTAACATGGGACTATAACAGGCAAAAACAACTGAAATGATTTTTTTCCCCAATTCGCCCATTTCCATTACAGAAAAAGCTCATAAGAATTCAGGTTCCTGGACAAAGGGAAACAACAAATACAGTTGTAAGCATAGTTTCAGTATTTTGTTTTAAATATTTAAATTTTGGTTGTTAAAGCCAGCACGAATACGATAGAAAGAGGCCTGGCCTGCAGTTCCCAAACACCTCCAAGGGCCGTAGGCTCCATTCCCCCAGAGCAATTGTTTAGAAATCACAGATTTTTCAGGTCCTGCCCCAAAAGACTTCGATTCAAAAATCCAGGGTGGAGCCCAGGAATCTGTAGTATTTTAAAGTGCCCCAACAATTCCAGGACAAAACCAAACATAGAAAATGACTACTAGGTAAACAGCAACTGAAATGCCAGTGTTTAGTCCTAAACTAGTCTCAGCATAAACCTAAGAATTATCACAAGGCTCATTTTAGAGCCCTGCTTGAGGGCTGGGAGTGTTCTAACTCAAGGGGCCTGAGTTTCCACCCCAGCACCGAAAAAAATTAGAAAAAAATAGAAAAAGAAGAAGTCCCACTGGTTGGGCCAGGTGGTTTTTGTTTTGGTTTTGGTTTTTCCCTTTTAGGAGCATTCCAGGTGAGGCCGGGCGTGGTAGCCCACACCTGGAAGCTGAGGCAGGAGGCTCACTTCTCAGCCAATCTGGGCTGCAAACGAGTTTCAGGCCTGACTGAACTAGGGAGACCCTATCTCAAAAAATCAAAAGAACATTCTAGGTGAATCTGAGAAACATGGGGGTGGGGAAATGCACAGCCTGACAGAAACTCTGACTGTCACCAAGACTCCCCGGCTCCTGGGTACAATCAGGGTGCACTGGACAGCAGACATCGGTGCAAAGAGCAGCCCAGAACACAGCTGCTGGGCTCTGCTTTGGGTGGCCGATAAAGAAAAGGCGACTGGAGCTGATACAAGAACCAAAAGCAACTTCAATGTCACGGACCCCGGGATCCACAGAGCCACGGACATTATTTTTCTGATGTGTATTTGAAATACACACGACAATTCCGCTTTTCTTTAAAAAACAAAAACAAAAAAACCTACGATTAAAAACAATTTAAAGCTCTCCAAACTTCTTGCTTTCCTTTGGGTTAATTTAACCATAAAAAAATGATAGAGATCTTAATTAAGAGGTTTGTAAAGTACTTGAGTTTGTCATTTTGTTGACATTTAAATGTAACTTCCTCTAAAAGCTATTCTTAGGTATCAACTAACTAAACTGTTGGTTTAGATTATTGTGCTGCCAGATAAGATAAAATTTGAGATAATTTACTAGAGAATAACCCACTAGGTTAGGAGTCCACTTTCCTCTAACACTTACCCTCGAGGCTGTCGGTTGTGTCGGAGGGGAAGTATTTTTGCTGCAATCGTCTGAGTTAGAAGAGGTTGAAGTTGGAGTCATAGGAATGGAATTATTGCTATTACCTGCAAGAGTCAAAATAAACCCTATAAATATACAGAGACCTACTGTTAAAGTTGGCAAATACTTCACAATCGAAAGGCATTTTACTATATTTACCAGAGCAAGTCTTTGACTTATTTATGTTTTTAGGTTTTCGTTTCCTGGTTTGAATTCCCTCTTTTTTCATAGCGAGTGGTCGAGGCACCTAAAAAATGTTCACACAGGCCTTAAGTTTATTAAGTATGAGGGAAAACCAAAGACGGACATTGGGACTGAAAGGCCCCACTTAAAAGAACTTGTCATAAATTTCAACCCAATTTTTATACACAATAGAGTCCAAGTACACAAAGGTTATACATTCTCATCAAATGTGGAGACTCCTTAAGAAAAAATGGGGTGGCCCGGCTGGGGGTGTGAGTGTAGCTCAGTAGTAGTGGATTTGATCCCCAGTGAAGGAAAAGGGTAATTTGCAAAGGAGAGTTTAATTCTTGTTTAATTCTTTCAATTCGGTGTTTATTGTTTGAATAGCCTGGACAACTTAGCCAGACAGATCCTGTTTCAAAATGTAAAACAAAACAAAATGTAGCTTGGCCTGGGAATGTAGCTTAGCAGTAAAAGAGTAAAAGCACTCGCCTACCAAGCACACGGCTCTAGGTTAATCCCTAGCACTGCAAAAGCATAAGTAGGTAAATAAATAAATGGAATAAAAGAGATCATGTACTCTTCCTCTTAGGGCTTATTTTCCTTTGTACGTATGCGGTGTTTATATTTTGTGCCAACCTCTGAGTTGAAGTACAAAACCTACCAAGTGGGCCGGGATTTAGCTCAGTGGTTTCGCTGGCTGCTGCGCAAGCACAAGGACCCGAGTTCGATGCCCGGTACCAAAAAAAAAAAAAAAAAGACTGTACCAAGTACATTTACTCCTTTTTTACAAATGTCTTTGCTTGTGTTCAAAAATTTTAAGACAGAAACTACTTACTGTGCCTTTCTAGTTAGTTGACCTGACTGCTTACAATTCAAACATATGGTCATACCCTAAAATGCACCCTTGTATTTTCACGTTTCTAAAATGGGAAGGTGTCATACAAGCAGTGCTTGTGATAGCAGAGCTGGCAGTGACATTTCTCGGGGGTGGGGGGCACAGGAGATAATAATTCCCATCCCAATGAGAGCACCTTCCTCCGTGAGGTGCACAAACGCAAGCGTTTCGCTCACACCCTTTCCTCTGCTTGAGCAGAGACTACAAGTATGTGCTAGTGAACAGAGTAAGTGGCGTACCCCGTGGAGTTTCATGTAGAGCCCACACGCATTGCACACGGGTTCGCCCTCGGCATTCCGGCGCCACAAGGTGGTGGTGGTGGTGTGACAGTTGGCACAAGACAATCCAAGCCGCCGAGATGAAGGCTGCAAAGGGGCACAAGGAAGAGAGGGAAGACGCACATGAGCGCTGATGTATCTGAGATGATCTTAATTTAGGATCCGCCTCAGGCCCCTGTCTCCATCAGGCACATTCTTTGGTTACTGCTGTTGCTTTCTAAGGGGAATGAGGTTTTCTAAAGTTTGCCAAATTGTCCTTTCTTGAAAGACACCGCAAGTGACAATACAACTGGACATAACATGAGTGTCCCCAGCTCCCAGCTGAGGACAGCCACACCACGCTGTCACAAGTCTGAGGCATTAACAACTGCAAACGCCAAAGTGCTAAATGGCTTTGGTGGCCTCCTCCTGGAAACGTGGAGGTGCTCAGTCTGTTTCTCAGCTATGTGGAGAGGAATCAACCAGAAACCCTAAAGGGGCCCAATCTACATGCATGGGAGCAGGCTTAGAAACAGAAGATATTTACATGATGTGAAATTTTTGGAACCAAAATGCTCCGTTTCCTCCAAATTTTTACATGTGACTTAAAGAATAAGAATTTAAGCTAGTAGAAAGAACTTCCTCCCAAATATAACTTACCAAAGTTAAGTTTCTTTTAAAACCTGTTTTAAGTGACTATAAAAACTGTGCTGTGACTTCAATTTAAAAAAAAAAAAACCATGGGGAACGTTTAGGGACCAAAACAAGTTTTAAGTAACAGAATTTGGTGAGTTAGCTATACATTGGTCTGTACAAGAAGTTATAAAGAATGGACAATAAAAATACAAGTGGAGCCTGTATTAAGCATTCCCAGATGAGAGGACAGGGATCTGCAAATTATTTGCTGGCAAATTGAAATGAAATTGTATTTTTGCATTTACAGTTCACACCCTGCTTATTGCGTTAGCAGCATTCTTTACAGACCAGTTGTAAAAACAGACACTACTAAGCCTTTTAGCACTGCAACATTTCTCAGAAGTCAGTGCTAACGATTCTTAACACCCATTGGTGGCACTGGCTTCTTAGAACCTGGTTTAAATGATAGGAAACCTATTTGGGGAATTACTTTGGTAAAATGATGAAAATACTAACAAAACCTTACACTGGGGCTTCTTTACTTGATTTCCCTCTCATTGAGGTGGTTTTTTTGTTTTGTTTTTTTTAAAAAACATACAATTTTCTGGGCTAGCACTCCTTTCTCTCCACGAATGTGAAATCTCAGTAAACAATGGACAGGAAGATTCATTTTATAAAATGGGCCATTTATGAGTTTCCAGTGAAGTCCGGAGCCAATGTGAAGCAAACTTGTTATCAGAATTTGCCATTTTAACAAAGAACTTTATGATTGTCAACTGCAGATCATAAGGGAAGCCAGTCCTCATAAACATGTGAAATGAAGGTGAGTGGGTTATAAAAGTCCCTTGTAACAAGCGATCTCAGTTCTATTCCTCACTGACAAGGAATTCAAGTTACACCATAAATCTCGTATTTTGCAATGCACTGCAAGTTCAAATCCACACTGATTGGTTCTGTACTGCTGGCTAAACAAACTTGGGTTCAACATTCTGTTTCTGAGAACTAACCCAGACTCATGAAAACCATAAATAAGAAGCCCACAAGAAGAGCCAATTGATAGAGACACACCCTGCAATTGGTATCATTCCGAGCTCAGTTACAAAGCAAGCTGGCTGACCTTGGTTCCCACCAAGACACCTGCCACACAAAGAAAACTGGTCTAGAAATGTGGAAAACCATTCTCTTGCTTGTAACAGTTATTTCTACTGAAATGCACAAAATAAATGATACTATTTAAGCATGGATGTTACCAGATGAAATCTGCAATGCAACTAGACCCTTAATGGCTACTATTACACCACCGTGAGACAATGTTACCTTTCAGAGCTCAGCTAGTATTGACCTCAATGTGCCTTGCCCCCAAAATAGTAACTGTCAGCATCCCAGTTCAGGAACCGTCAATACTTGAAACCAAGGAATTTCCTTGGAATATTTTCCTATTACTTTTTCTCTTTTAACATGGTGTATATGAGAATAATGAAAACCACAGAGTTACAAAGCTACCGGTATCCTTTAAAGGAAATTCTAAGCCATGGGGAGGCTCTAACAAGGTTAAGGCACATAACTCATTAAATTAGCTGAGGCCACTTAATTTTAAATGCATTAAAAACAAAACCACCATAAAGCTAATTGCTTCTTTTCAAGGTGTCAGACTACCTACATTGTGGTGCAATTTCACTCTAATCTATTTAACACAAACAACGTGTGTAGCATTTGTTCTGCTAATTAGAGCATAACAATTAAATAAATTACCTGGATACTTAAGATGTCTGGCATCTAACTGCAAAATTTTACTTTAAAAGGTGTCTAGGCAATGAGTGTTCGGGCTAAACAAATGTTAGCCTTGAATGGAGTTTGGGAAGCTTTATTTTCTCTACTATAGCAGTAAATACCCACTCCTCAGAAGCTTACATCACAATGCCAAAATGACATTAATCCCTAGAGAAAATCAGAATTCCCATACTTTAAAAGATGGGGAATCTGTTGGAATTGGTGAAAGTTCTCCATTTGAGAATTATGTACCTATTCCACCTTTTCCCAAGTTCTATGCAGCTCTCCAAGGAGCCAGATTTCAAAATAACCAAATTGAGAGTCAAATATTCACCAGATTCAAGGGCAACCCCAAAGACGTCCAGAATTTGGGGCTAAATCTGTCGCTTTGAGGCCCAATGAAAGGACAAAATAAACGGGGCGCAGAATGTGACTGGGGAGACGGAAGTGGTGTGCTTCTGTCCTCCGTGCGCTGAGGACAGGGTGCCCTAAGGGACCCTAACTTCTCAGGAACAAGATTCCACCCAGACCCAGGGAGACGCAGGGTCAACCTTCCCTCCCCTGCCCAGTTTTTCTCCCCCAGCACATCCGAGCCCCGCGGCGCACTCACCACGCGCTTCTGCGGCTTGATGAGGGGCCGACTGAGGCCGTTCATCTTGCTGTAGAGGCCGCAGGCGTTGCACAGGTAGTGGCCGGTGCCGTCGCGTCGCCACAGCGGGGTCTGGATGGAGCCGCAGTTCGCGCACTCGCGGCTCTCGGGCAGGTCCTCCAGCAGCTCTGCGGCGACAGCACAGAAAGCGAGACGCGGGTGAGGCCGCGCCGGCCGAGCCCCACACCGTCCCCGGGCTCCCCCACGCGCGGCCAGGGACACCGCCCACCCGCATCCCCTGCGCCACGGTGCTCAGCGCCCGGCGAGGCGCCTGTCCCCGAAGAAGCCAGGGAAACCCAGGGGCAGAGCAGGAAGCACCCCAGAGCCTGCCATGGGCTGCGCGGGACAGATTGGGCCCCCTGACCCTCTCGGGCTGTCCTCACGCTCTTTAAATCTGAAATCCCACCTCATCACAACGTGCTGCTTGCCACAGCCAGCGAGCGGCAGAGTAACACTGACCACCCACCTCCGAAACCCACGAACACCCCAGGACACGCTGTCTCGCTCATTTTTTGTTGTCTTGTTTCTTGAGACAGGGTCTCCCTGTGTGGTCCAGGCTGGTCCTGAACTCACCATGACGCCCAGGCTGACCTGGAACTCACAGCAATCCTCCTGCCTCAGCCTCCCCTGGGATAACAGGCGAGCACCACCACATTCGGCTGCCGCTTTTATCTCACTTTTATCTCTAGCAATTTAATAAGTATTTTCCAATCTGCCACATTTCCTTATGTGCCTTTTGTTCAATAAAAAAGATAAGTGAAATTATAAGTTCTATTCTTAGGCACAAATGTCAATTAGAATGAGAAAGAAATCATTCAGGTCTTCTGGAGAAAAAAAATCACTAAGTATTGAGCATAGAAATTAAATTTCAGCCAGGGGTGGTGGCACACGCCTGTAATCCTGACACTCAGGAGGCTGAGGCAGGAGGATTGTGGTGAGTTTGAGGCCAGCCTGGGCTGCATAGTGAGTTCAAGGCCAGGATGAACTACATAGCAAGACCCTGTCTCACAAAATAAAAAAGAAAGAAATTAAATTTTATTTGTATGCCAGAAGCAACAAAATATTGATTTCTACCTGCAAAGTTTTCACAAAAGGTTGATGTTTTATGGCCTGGGAAAATTACTAAGACCTTCCTGGCGATGAAAAAAACCTCTGTTTCCCTACACTAAAATTTTAATTCATGTAATCTATTTAAATGTGCTTATTTTAATTTTTGTAGTGATCTGCTTAGTTTTTAGAATTCACAACTAACCTAAACTCCCTAAGAAAAACAAATCTTAATGAAGAATAAATGCTTGTAACATTTATTACTTTCTTAGGAGAGTTAAAAATGAAAGAATCTATTTTCTAAAATGAGATAGGTATTTATTAAATACGGGATTCTAAAAAAAATAAGTATCTCCAATTTGGCATTCTTAAGAAATGTTTCTGAATCGCTTTTTAAAGTAAATAAACATCACACCTCGACATTTTCCTTGAAGATTAAAGGCCCTAGCAAATCTATTCTTTCTCCTGCAGTGTATAGCTAACCTCTACTGTCAACTGTGTGGTAGCTATTTAAATGTGATTTTCACATAAAAATGCTTGAGCCCATTAATACTATTTACCCTACAAAATAAGAGCCCTGCCTCTTTCTTGAGTTATTCCTTGGGCTTAAAGGAAGCCAGCATCCCACATAAGCTGAGTTCAAAGTTGTCATGGAGACACTGCAGCTCACAGCACATCACAAAGATTTATTCTTCTCCGCCCTAAAAGCCACTATTGACCACAGTAATCAGTAAAGCACGCTCGGGACTTCAAGGACACTGAAGTTAAACAAGGTATTTATCTTTGTTGTTGACTTTAAAATGTTACCTATCTGAGCCCCTGGCCGGAGGAGCAGGGACATTCCCTGGAAAACCAGGCCCTGGGCCTGGGAACAATAAAGGCAGACATCGAAGGGGCCGGCTCTTGATTCCTCTGAAAACCCCAAGACAAAATTTCAAGTCCACCGTGGATAAATGCAATCTAGGAACTTTGCTTTTTTTATTAATTAAAAAGCCTCTTTTTCTTCCAACTTCTCCCCCCCACAGCCACCAAGCAACTATGATTCCCTTTCTAAGTTTTTTTCCTAAAAGCTCTTTTTATAAAAATGACAAAAGTCTGACCACACCAAAAGCGGTATCTGCCTCTGAGGTGACTCCTCAGGGTGCTCTTGGTCCCCAAGACCCAGCGATGCTGCGCAGTTCTGGGGCACTTTGGAGGGCCGGACTGGGGAATGGGGTGAGGAGTGGGAGCCCACGAATCTCCAGACATGTGGCGGAGCGTTTCCAGAAGCTTCTACACCATCCACATTGATAAAGCACGGTGCTCAGGTTTTAGTCCTGGCGTCTACCCAATCAATTAAACAGTCTGCCTCCAAAAACAGTTTAAGAAAAAAAAAAGTGAAGCAGGAGATCTAGCTATAATCAGGCTAGGAGAGCTGAGAGGACAAGCAGAGTTAGGGTCCCTCCCCTCACCCCAAGTACTAGTTCAGTCCAGGCTGCTTCCGGACCAGACTAAGCAAACCTCTGGGCATGGCCAAGTCCCTGTTTTTATTAATATACAAAAGGGTTTGTTGGGGTTTTTTTCTCTTTGTCAGGTCACAGCCAGAAAGCGCAAAAATGAGAGAAAGAATAGGCTAAGTTTAAAACAAAAGGAAACTGCTTTGCCTGCCACTGCATCAGCCTCTAAAAGGATCTCAGGCGAACCAGTCACTGTCAACAGCTGAGCGAGGACTCCAGGGTCTGGAGTGGCTCTGGCCCACATGACACCCGCAGGGCCAGGAGGAATCTGGAGGGGAGGCTGAGGTGTGTGGACCAAGGGTTCCTTCGGTTGCAGAACTAAGCACCCAGCCACCATTCCTCCCGCCCTTTGAAGACCCCTGCCTTCCTGTTCCTCGCTCCTAGCCAGCCCCGGCTAGGCTCTCTCAAATCCCAGGCCCACAGGGCCCATTCTCCCCGCCCCAATCCACGCAGAGCCCCTAAAGACTGCAGTGCAGGAAAAGGCAAGAGAGGGGAGTCTGAAGTGAAGTCTTGGCAGCCCCCGGAAGGAGGGAAGAAGAGGGCAACCTGCTCAGATGCAGACCGCTAGCGTTCCCCTGAGGCTTCCGAACCCCAGATGAGCATGGTCCCACAAATAAGGGACCCTAAAAGGACTCGAATCCCTAACGGGAGCACCAAGGCTCCCCAGAGAGGCCCGGACCTGGGGCATGAGACACCTGGATGGGACACCTGACTGTCTCCACCTCCCTATCCCGTGACTCTGGGGCGCCACCTCCAACAAACAAACGAGCAAACAACAAAAGCCTGGATTTTCCTTAGAACCCAGGTTATCAAACAGGTGGAAGAAAAGAGACCTGTGAGCCCTATGGCTGAGAACAAAGTCAAACAACAATGGCACAAATACAAATGCTTTCTTCTACAAGGAGACACTTCTAAGAAGATGGCAGTTTTGCTTCCCAAGTTTACCTCCACACGGCCTGAAACAGACCTGGGAAAGGCGGTGTGTGGGCGCAGGACGCTGTGAATGTTGGGGGCTCACGGCTAGAAAGAGGGGCCCGGGGCCTACCAGCCGTCCCCAGCATAAATTCACAGGGCCCGCAGGACCGGGCTCTTCGCAGCTTTCCCTTCCCTCACTGGGGGAGGGTGCCCAGCGGACCACCTGGGTCCTGAGTGGCTGCAGCGCCTACACGGGCTCCCCCGGGAGCACCCCAATCCCTCGCCTCTTCAAAGTTCGCCCGAATGAGATGCGTGTGCATGTGGGGGGAGGCACAGTACCCCAAACTCCCCCCAAGGAGGGAGCGTGGATCTCAGGCCCTGCCAGTCCCTGGAAACCTCTTTTCCCAATGCCTGCCCGGAAGCGGAGGGTCTGGGAAAGGAACTGCACCCTCCGCTCCACAGCAGCCCTGTGCGCACTGCCGGCCCCCCGCGGTCGCCCCGTGTGTAGAGGCACCGGCCGGCAGGCGGGCCCTGCGCCCTCCGCGGCGCGCTTACCTGCGCTGGGCCCCCGCGGCACGGGGAGCGGGCCTCCGGCGCGGCTCTGCAGGCTGTGCAGCACCGGGGTCTCGAAGGGTCCGGCCGGCCAGGCAGGCGTCAGCGGCGCGCCCATATAGGGCGAGTAAGGGCTGGGGTGGTGGTGGTGGTGGTGGTGGTACGTCCCGTTCAGCGGCCGTGCGGCGGACAGCGAGCTGTACTGGTGCTCCCGGCCGGCCATGGGCGCCAGGCCGCCCCCGGCGCCTCCGCTCACGCCGCCCGTGCCCCCGCCTCCGGCCGCCGCGTAGCCACCGGGCTCCCGCGCTGCGCCAGTGGCCCCGGGTGGGCTAGGCGAGTAGGGGAAGCGCGCGGAGCCGTGCGCCCCGGCCGAGCTGGCGCTGCCGGGTCCCGGGGCCCCGCCAGGCGCCGTGCCGCCCCCGCCGCCGTAGGGGGGGCTGTCGGCCGCCCCCTGGGGCCAGCCGGGGTGTGCGCCCGCGCCGCCCGCGTGGCTGGGGGGGGCGCCGGCCGCGCCCTGCAGGTAGGGCAGGCCGGGCAGCATGGAGCCCACGCGCGTGGTGGGCACGTAGACCGGGGAGCTGGCGGCCGCCGCCGCCGCTGCCGCCGCTGCCGCCGCCGAGTGCACGAAGCCGCCGGGGGCGCCGTCGTAGGTGGCCGGGCCCTGGCCGGAGAGCGCGGCGAGCGTCTGGTACATCTCCTCGGGCTGCTCGGGCGCAAAGGGGCTCAGCTTGGCACCCCGGCTGGACCACAGCAGCTTGCTGGCCGTGGCCGCCTGGTCGAGGTCGGTGAAAAGCAACAGGTCCTCCCAGCTGGACAGGGCGCTGCCGGGGCCCGCGACCCCCGGCGCCGCAGGTCCGTGCGCTGCCCCGAAGGCGTGCGAGGCGTAGGGGCCGAGCAGCAGCGAGCGGGCCGGAGGCCCCGCCACCGCCTCCGCGTCGAGCTGCGGCGTCCTGCAGGGGCCGGCGCCGCCCCGGGAGCACGAGGACGACGACGAGGAGATCGGGGAGGGCGGCGTGGACGGCTCCCGCGCTGGAAAGGCCCCCGGGTCGCCGGCGTCCGCAGCCGCGGCCCCGAAGCGCTTCGGCAGGCACCAGCCGCCGTCAGTCAAGGCCATCCACGGGCCGGCGCCGCGCTGAGCTGGCTCCTAGCTCCTGAGGCGGGTGGGGGAGACAGGGGCGGGGAGAGAAAAAGAGGGTTCACCGAGAGGCGGGCTGTGCACCCCGCGCTGCCACCCGCCTCCCCAGCTCAGGCACGTCTGCAAGATCCCATTTGGGCCTTGGCGCGGGCGTGGGCAGAGAAGGGGGGCTGGGCGGCCATCAGGGTCCTCTGGGGACCCCCACGCTCCCCGGCGCCCCTTCCGCAGCATCCCCTTCGCACGCGTCAGACCCGGGTAGCGGCGAGGCGGCCGAGTCTCCTTCCGCCCCGGTGGCCGCCTCTGGCCGCTGACCCCACACGAGCTAATTTAAGTAGCTGCGCGGGTCGGCAGTGGGGTGGATGCCCCTCTCCCCGCCCGGAACGCCCCAGGATGAGGATTTCCCGCTGGAAAATTGTTCGCGCCCAGACGACAACCTGTCCCCGAAAACGAAACCGCCGCTTTGCCCCAGAGCTTCCCCGACCCTGCGCACCAGACGGAACTCGATCCTGGAGAAATGCCACTCGGCCCAGAGAAGTGGGATGCCGGGGCGGAGAGGGGATCCCTGATCTCCCGAGCAGGGGTCGGGCTAGGAGACGCAGCGCAGAAGTCTGGCGTCCCCGCGCGCCGCACACCTTCTCCCCGCGCGCGCGCGCCCCGCGGCCCGGCCCGCGGCCCCCGGTCACCCCGGCCGAAGACCGGACAGGCCTGAGCGTTCCGGAATCGGACCCGCAGGGTGGAGCAGTGCGCCGAGAAAAGGTGGGGGAAACGCAAGGGAGGGGGCGGGAGACTGCCCCGGAGCCGAGGCCACCCCACCGGGGCGAGCAGGAAGACTGACCGAGGCTCGGAGGGGTGGGAAGGGAGGCCAAAGGCGGCCAGCCGGGCCTCCGCGGGCGGCTTCCCGGCCCGCCCCGCCTCATCGGAGATAACCGAGCTGAAATTATTGCCCATACCCGGACGCGGCCCGGAGAGAAGCAGGAGGTCCCTCTGCCCGCCTGGCTCCGGGCGCCCGCCCCCTTCCCGGAGATAACTCGCAGATAAGACTGCGCGCAGATAAGCGCTCGGGGCCAGGAAACAGCACCAGAAGTTGGTTCGCGGCGTCCCGGGAACCTGGGAGCAGCTCCAGCCCTCGCGAAGGGGAGGAGGGCGACACCCGCGGAGCCGATCGCAGCTGGGAGAGCGCCGGAGGCCCGGGGCACGGGACGCGAGGGAGGGGAGCGGGGAGGGCGAGCCAAGGAGGAAGCGGCCGAACCTCGGGCGGGCGCGGCGCATGGAGCACGGTGGCGGCGGCGGAGAGGGCTCCGGGTGGCGCGCAGCGAAGCCGAGGGCGCCGGCGGCGGGAGAGCGCGAGTCCAGGGTCTGCGCGGCGCGGCTGGAGAATAAAAAGGAGAGAGGAGGCGCCTCTTACTGCTCCGCCGGAAAACTGCAGCCTCTGCTCCTGATTGGACTCACCGAGCCCTAAACAAACAGCTCTCGCCGAAGGGTGCCAGGCTGTGGGTCGGAACTGCACTCTGGGAGCAGCTGGGCGCGGAGGTGAAGAGGAGGCGGAGGAGGAGGAGGGATCGAGGGGAGGAGAGCAAAGAGGGTGGGGAGGGGACGGCGAAGGGGAGGGGAGCGCGCCGCCGGACAGACAATGCGCGCCGCGCAGCCTGCGGGCTTGGGCCAGGCCCCTCGTCTCTACGTCAGGGAGCGGGGACGAGCGCCCCCAGGGGGCGCCCAGCCCGGGGACGCCGAGGAGGGGCGGAAGCGACAGAATGCCCAACCTGACTGGCGACCTAGAACCAGCCAGGCGCCCCCGGGTCCAGGCACACTCGCGTGCGCGCGCGCTCACACACCCGGCGAAGGGGGGGGGGGGCGCCTGGGCGCTGGGGGTGCACAGCCCGGCGCGTGGCAGGAGCGCGCCCTAAAATGAGGGGCGTAAGTGCTTTGCCCCGCGGCCCCTTTTCTTCTCTCCAGTACGTGAGCCGTTTGGCTCTGCAGCGGTGTCTAACCGACCTTAAACTTTCCGCGACCCTATTTCGGGATGCTAGGGCTCAGGTCGGGGAGAGAAGGAGCCCAGGTCCCCACTCCACACCTCTCCCTGGCTCTTAAGATACTCTCTAACTCCTCGGGAGGATCGCAGTCCCCAGCCGACCTTTGCGAACGTTTAACTCGGGGTTGCCCTGTGCAGAAAGCTTAGTCTGCGAGGTGCGCGAACCGGCCAGGGGTTTCCCCCACCAGTGGTGCCTGGGGACACCGTGCGTTTTGCCCTCGCGTGTACCGCGACTTTCCCGGGACCTCAGGTAAGGCGCAGAGAAGTCGTGGGGGAGGTGGCATCTTCCCTGGGCCGCGTGCGAAATCCGGGCTCCCCGCCCCCACCCGCGCACACACACCCCTTTTTCGCTGCCTCGCAGCTGTGTACGAACCGACACGGTCCTTGGCGACCAAGGGACTGGAACGGGCGTCGCGGATTATCACCGCCTCTGTCAGCAGCGCGGCGCGCGCCCGCAGACTAGTCCGCGCTAGCCGGGACCCCGGTCCGCTGCCTTAGCCCCGAAAAGGCCGTGTGGGGGCGGGGCGGGGCGGTGGGGTCAGAAGCGCGGTCTCGCGGGGGTGCGTTAGTGCGCCTCCCCTCCCCGGCCTCATCGAAGTAAATGATTTTCCAAAGGTCAGTCTCCCTGTGCGCGTTTGGGCTCTGATTTTTGTTTTGGGGTGGTTTTTTTTTAATATTTATTTCTGTGCTTTTCCAGTTGGGGAAGGGAGAGGCGCCTGGGCAGAGCTGAACTGGGGTAGGGAGGTTCGTGGTAAAGCGGGGCTCGCAGGGACGGCGAGGGCTCTTCGCAAGCAGGGTTTCCTGGTCCTGGAACGTGAGTTGGGAACCTGGGGAGGGTGGGGGCGGCAGTGCGGGATGGGGAATCCAGGAAGTGGACGGAAATTCTCCGTTTCTCATTCGTTGTAAATTGCTGCTGAAGACCTGAATTTTAAATTGCTACCGAGAAAGTCCATAAACCGTTCTCGCCCGATTTAGTCACTTTTATGACGTCGCTCCTCGCCAGCCCCCGGCCCCGCGCGGGTCCCAGTCGCAGCGAGTTGGGAAAGGGTAAAGGTGGAAAACTCCGGAATGGAGGGAAGACCGGCCACGGAGCCGGATCCAGGGCTTTAAATTTTAACCCGAGTTCGATCGACTGCAGCCCCCAGAAAGGTTCCCACCGCGGCGTCCAAGGTTTCGCAGCGCTTCGGTCCCGGTCCCGTGGCGAGTTGGACCAAGTGTTGAAACGGACTGCATTTTGCAAAGCTCGTGTGTAAGCAGTTACGTAAATGTTCTGGACGCTTTATTTCCTTTGAATCCAATTGTATTTTTTAAATCGTGTTTCTCAGATTTGCTGCTAAAAGGAATTTTTAAAAACAATTTATACTTGTTAAAAATAAATGCTTTGGTCAAGTTTGCATCCAGGCCACGAACGGCCTCCAAGCCAGAGCCTAACTGAGCCCTGGCGCGAGCCTGACCCTGGTGCAGTGTAAATTCTTTATTTTTCCAAGTTTGGGGTGTCCTTGTGCGCTTGCTGGGACAACAGCTAAACCCCGCTGCCCTCGCTGTGGGCAGAGAGCAGCCTGGCGCCTCGGGGGCGCGGGGACGCCGCCCCGTCAAGGACTTTCGGGGTCGGGAAGGGACCCGGTAACTATGGTCCAGACCCCGGTCACCCCAACAGCGTCCCAACAAAGGGAAAATAGGTGTTTGTTCCTTTTTCGGGGCTTCTCCCCTCCAGACTGATTTTCAAACCAAATGAGGGAATGGGGAGAGAAATTTGTCAGTTGGGTTAATTTTTAAATAAAGGAAAACTGTTTAACCTGGACAGTGATTAGGACAGAAACCAGGCTGCCAGACCTCTTGGATCCACCTTTTGCGAGGTGTCGGCCCTGGCCCTGGGACGACGTCCTCGGGCAGGGGCTCGTTTTCCGAGCCGACGCCGCCGTGCGCGGAGGCCAGCAGAGTCCGGGGTGCGAGGGAAGGGCGCACCCCAAGCCGGGAGAACCCAAGGGAGGCTGGAGAGAGTCCCGGAGCCCCAGGTGGACGGACTCGCCTTTCTTTTCCTTGCTTTTGTTTTTCTTTCTTCAGAGGTCCTCCTCTCTCCTCCGGCCTCTCCGGGGCCGCTGGGGCCCCGCTGGCCCTGGCCGAGCTCTGCCTCGGCAGCCGGGCCTGGCGCGGCCTGTCCCCGCTGATTTATTTGGGCCGCAGGGCGGCAGCCAATGGGGCAGGGGGCGGGGGCTGCGCCGCCCACACGGAAGGGCTGGAGACCCAGGCGGACGCGTCTGGCACCCGCACCGAACCCCAGCTCCGCGCGGGGTCGTCTCCGGGCTCTCGGCTGCTCTGCTCCGGCGACCTTTCAGAAACACAGAAGAATCCAATTTCTGGATTAAAACATACTTTTAACCTTAGATTTAAAAAAAAAAAAAAAAAGAAAACAGCTTCATGGGGCTGTGAAGGTTGCACCGCATTTCTTCTGCCCAAGGACGCGGGGTCCGCTGCCCCCTCCCCGCCGGCGTCCGCTCCAGGCCCGGGTGACGCTGACCCCGCGCGGCCCTCGTCCCGCAGCCCGGCCGGCACCGCGTGCCGCCGCCTCCGCCCGGCCCGGTCTGCCTTCTTTCTCTGTTTTCCTTTCCTCTTCCTTTCCCCTTCCCTTTCCTTCCTTTCTCTTCTTTCCTTTATTTCCTCTCCTCTCCCTCCTTCCCCCTTTCCTTCCCTACCCCTCAGATCCGCTCCGGGAGGCCGCCTCCCGCGTCAGCCTCCCCACTTTCTTCCCCGGCCTCGAGCTCCTTATCTGGCCACCCCCTGACCGACGACGGACCTCCCTGCTTCCCCGAGGCCGCCCTAAGCCAAATAAATGTCGCTCCCAGGGCCGCGAAGTCTGCGCAGCCGGCGGTGCCTTCCTGGGGTCGCGGGAGAAGGCGAAGGCGAAGCTTGCGACTCGCACCCGATAAGATTCCGCCGGCGCCGGCCCCTGCCCGCGGCCTGCTCGCCAGACACCGCGACCTGGGGGGAACACTGGGGTCCTGGGCCCCCCCGCCTGGGAAGCCCAGGCAAGGGTTCCCAAGGAGCTAGAACTCCAAGTCGGAGCAGGGACCCTGAAACGTCCCTGCTGTAATTCACAGAAAAAACAAACCGAGGTCAGGGGGTGCCAAATTACCGTCCCTTTTTGATTATTTATACACAAGTAATAAAGACAAAGACAAACCACCCCGACCTCTGGCCTGGTGATGCACGCCTGTAATCCCAGCACTCTGGGAGGCTGAGCCAGGAGGATCTCCATGAGTTCCAGGCCAGTCTGGGATTAGTGAGTCCATGTCTAGCCTGAAATACATAGTAAGACCCTATATCAAAAAAAAAAAAAATTCACCCCTAGCTGCCTGCCCCCGCCTGTGGTCTTGCCCTGGCCTGTGCCATCCCATTCCATTAGGGTTTGAACACAGGCGACCTGGAAGGTGGGCAAAGCTGTGTAGACCGAGGCCATCCCGGCAGCAGGTCTGGGCCAGGGACTAACTGCGCAGGTGCGAGGCCGAGGAGCACTCAGCCCCCCGGACTGGCTCGCTTGGGAAGCCGGGTCTTCATCATCCGTGTCAGTCCCGCCTGGCATCGCCACCTGCCTGGGCAGCAGCTGGAGCATCCTTCGCTCCCCAAAAGCGGGCATTCGGCTTGGGGAGCAGCTCTGAGGTGGGCGGAGTCAGACGCCCAGATTTGGGCCCTGTCCTCGCTGCCCCGCCCCCCCGCCCCCCCCCCGCCAAACTCCAGTTCCCAGCAGCCTTTTCGGGCCCCTTTGAGCCCAGGAAGAAGTGGGGAACAGGAGGGACCCCTGGGGTCCCCGCCACTGCTTCTCCCACCCTGCCTCCCCTGTCTGTTCCCTGCCAGATGCTGGGGACCAGACTCACATCCAAAAGGCACCCCAGGGTCCTGCCTCTGACCTCCCCAATCCTCCACGTATCTAATTCTCAGGCCAACTCAGCTTCTGGGGTTGGACACCAGGGCACTGGAGGAAAAGGGCTCTGCCTGCTTTCAGGCAGGCAGGACCCGGCCCACGCTGGTACCCCTGGGGTGCAGCGGGTCCACGGCAAGGTCCCATGCAGCACCACCACCCAGGGTTATCCGCTCAGACACCCTTGCTGCCCTTGGGTAGTGTTTGTTTTTGGTTTTGTTTTTTCCCCAAGGAGGAGGGGCAGGAATTGCTAAAAGGAAGCAGAAAAGTAGCAAAAAGAGGGCTTCTGAAGATTTGCTAAATTACAAGTCCCCTCCGTGAGTCAACTGAAGGGGAAAGAAAGTGCCAAAGTCTCATCACTCAGGAGGCTGAGGCAGGAGGATCAAAGTGAATTTGAGGCCAGTCTGGGCTACAGAGCAAGACACTGTCTCAACAACCAAAAATATGAATAAAGTAAAAGAAGAAAGTGCCCAAGAAAATGTAAAAGTCACTACATCCAACACTCAGAAGCATGCCCTTTCCATTCAGCTGTGTTGCAAACACTCAGGACGCAGGCGCCTCTGGCACCCACTGTGCAGCCCCTCAGCTTCCTGCCAGCCTCAGACTCCACTG